CAAGTTGCCGATATGGCTTGCAACAGCCTTGTCAGGGTGGTGTTTCTCCATAAATCTTTCCATCCTACCCCACATTTCAAAAATCTCCTTAATTTCTGAAGAAGGCAACTTCTTCCATCTCTCTTCCTCCTCCTCTGCAGCAATATTCTGAGCTGCGGTCTGTTGCTGTTCCTGCTGAAGCTCTTGCAGCTCCTCAGTGGTTAGCTCTTCGTTGTGGTCCTCCACCAACTCTTCCACATCCTCCAAACTCGCATCCAACCCCATGGAACTCCCCAATGCCACAATAGATTTCACAACTGTCATAGGCTCATCAGGGTCAGCTCCAAACCCTTCAAAATCCCTCTTGTGGACACAATCTGGCCACAATTTTCTCCAAGCAGAGTTCAAAGTCCTGGTAGTCACTCCCTCCCAAGCCTTACCTATAAGGCTTATGCAATGGAGGAAACTGAAGTTATCTTTCCAAAACTCTCTTAGGGTCAAATGAGTGTCTAAGGTCACATTAAAGCACCTTTGAAACATTGCTTTGGTGTAGAGTTTTGTAAAGTTTGAAATGACCTGCTGGTCCATGGGCTGGAGGAGAGGAGTGGTATTAGGGGGCAAGAACTTTACTGTCATTAACCCAAACTCCTCCAGAATTAGGTCATCCAAGTTTGGAGGATTAGCAGGTGCATTGTCCATTACTAGGAGGCACTTGAGATCCAATTTCTTTTCCAGGAGGTAATTCTTCACACTAAGGCCAAACACTTCATTGAACCACTCGACGAAAATTTCCCTCGTGACCCGTGCCTTATTATTAGCTTTCCAAAACACACACAATTTACTCTTCGTAACATTGTTTTTCCTGAACACTCTGGGATTTTCAGAATGGCACAATAGTAACAGCTTCACTTTGCAATCCCCACTAGCATTAGCACAGAACATGAGTGTCAGCCTGTCTTTCATAGGCTTGTGTCCTGGCAGTCCCTTTTCCTCCTGAGTAATGTAGGTCCTCTTTGGCATTTTCTTAAAAGAGGCCTGTTCCGTCACAATTGAACACTTGTTCAGGTTTCAGTCCTTCAGCCTCTATATACTCCTTGAATTCACTTACGAATTTTGTAGCTGCAATTTTGTCCAAACTGGCAGCCTCGCCACGCCTTATCACAGTATATGCCACTACGGTTCTTAACCCTTTGACTGTCGCAGGCCCCTTTCTGAAACTGTCATTCTATGTTGCAAAATGTTTGAAAAAAATTATTTTTTCTTATGAAAATGTTAGAATTATTTTACTGAGTGGTTTAAGCCTAAAAAATTTTTTTTGCCATCAGTACTTACCGAGATACAGAGCTGCAAAGTTGGCAGAAAGTGAGGTGCGTACGGCACAGACACAGGTAGACAGAAAGACACACAGGTAGACAAAGACACACTCTGGTAGACAGAAAGACACACACAGGTAGACAGAGACAGACACACAGGTAGACAGACAGACACACCAGTAGACAGAAAGACAGGTAGACAGAAAGACACACACAGGTAGACAGAAAGACACACAGGTAGACAGAAAGACACACACAGGTAGACAGAAAGACACACACAGGTAGACAGAAAGACACACACAGGTAGACAGAAAGACACACAGGTAGACAAAGACACACTCAGGTAGACAGAAAGACAGACACACCAGTAGACAGAAAGACAGGTAGACAGACACATACAGGTAGACAGAAAGACACACAGGTAGACAGAAAGACAGACACACAGGTAGACAGAAAGACAGACACACAGGTAGACAGACAAACAGACACACAGAGATACACAGATATACAGGCAGACAGATACAGACAGGTTTATGTGCAACAGTGAAAAATAGAGAGTTCGAGAGTAAGAGCCTTTCTTGCCACAATCTCCAGTGCAAGATTCAGACTTCATCTTAGGGGCCATGGTGAAATTTACTGTCCAGTTAGTACAGTTAATACAGTGTGATGCTGCTGATAGGGCAGGGTTATTCAAACTGATGCTGCCTGCATGACTCATTGCTGCCGCGAGTATTGTCAAATATTGTACAGTGGTGTGCATCAGCCGGCCCAGCCCAGCTGCCAGATGCACGGTCGTAAGTCAAGTGGACGTATGTCAAGCAGGTCGTAAGTCGGATGGTAGGTGTACACTGTGTGCTACAGGATTTTTTTTATATGGTGCACACTTACTGCTTAGACCCAGTCTCTTGTATCTAGGCACAAATTTACTACTCGCAGCTTATCTGAGTGAGCTGAGCTCATGGTGCAGTACAATGGGACTGACCCTGGCTTCAAAGCTGTAGTACAACGGAACTGACAATGACAGGGTTTAACTCCAGCAATAATTCCCTTGATATGTCATGTATTCCCTCATTTATGTTGTCAAATTCTTATACCTCCCAGGTCCTACTAACCCTTTCAGGATCCGTCCTGTAGATCTCCGGCTTTACGTTCAGGGTCCAACCCGTAGATCTACGTCATGAGCTCAGCTCACTCTGATAAACTGTGAGTGGTACATTTGGGCCTAGATATGAGAGAATACATCTATGTGGTATGTGTGCACCACATAAAACAGATCCTGCAGCACACTGTGTATAATGAGAGAAAAAGAAACTGAAATCATGATTTTTCGATTAAAACAGCGACTTTGCAGTGTTTTTTCGAATGTTTTTTATAGTTGTACTTGCAATTTCTTGGTCTCATTTGATAGAATGGAAGACATATTACAGAAATAGAGATGATTTTGATTGGTTTTAGCACTGGAAATGGCTTGAAACTGAGCTCAAAGTAGCAGAAATGTTAAATTTTTGCCAATATTCAAGAGTAAACAAACGACATCACACGTCTAATACACGCCAGCTGGTGGGTCTAATATGCATTCACAAATATGGTGATGATAGTTATACAATTATTACAGCATTGCATAACAGTAAATCTTCTATTTTTTGGTGTGAATAAAAATTCATGTGAATAAAAAATCAAAATGGAATTTATTTGTAAAGCCTCAGAACGTAACTAATGAACAGAGGATATTTTAGTTTAGTTCCAGGAATACCTACATTGTTTATTCTGGACCCTATTTTGAAATTGGAATATTTTAAACTTTGTGTTAAATTGGCCAAATTAACAATTTCCGATCACTTTAATTTGTAGTTGAAACAGTTGACTTGGCGATTTCTTGTGCTCAATCGATAGAATAGAAGTAATATTAGTGAAATAGCTAAGAATTTGGTTGACTGGAATAATGTAATTGGCCTAAAATGGGAGTCAAAGTCGGCAAAATCGCCCATTCGTAAATATCGCTGACACATCAAAATTCGCGAGAGCATAATTTCGTCAATTTTCCATCAAATTTCGTACTTTTTGTTTTATTACCTTCACAAAAAGATTCTCTACCATTTCATAAGAAAAAATAACAAATTTTTTTTTTTGAAAATTCTTGGACACTGGGACAGCACTTCAGATTTGGGCCTTGGACCCTGAAGGGGTTAAATAACAAGTTACATGCATTCACTACCATAATTTTCTCATCTTTATTTTGAATTCTACCATTAAAATTTCAACATTATTCATGCTTTGAATTTTAATTACTGAAACTTGCATTGTTTCCTTTACCAACACATCCAGTCCCACTCCCCTTATCTTCTGTATCATGGTTGGAGAAATAGTTGACAAATAAGATGACATCATAATCATACTTTTCTATGTTTTATAACTTTCCCCAAATGGACTGAAGCAACCTTCAGAAACATGCCTATTAACCCTTTGACTGTCGCGGCCGTATATATACGTTTGCGAGGTACCGTGTTTGACGTATATATACTCATAAATTCTAGCGGCTTCAAATCAGGCAGGAGAAAGCTAGTAGGCCCACATGTGAGAGAATGGGTCTGTGTGGTCAGTGTGCACCACATAAAAAAAATCCTGGAGCACGCAGTGCATAATGAGAAAAAAAAAACTCCGACCGTTTTTTTTATTAAAATGCCGACTTTGTGGTCTATTTTCGTATAGTATTTGTGGTTGTATTCTCGTTTTCTTGGTCTCATTTGATAGAATGGAAACTATATTATAGAAATGGAGGTGATTTTGATTAATTTTACTATAAAAAGAACCTGGAAATGGAGCACAAAGTACAGAAATGTTTGATTTTTGCCGATGTTCAAAAGTGAACAAATGATGTCATTGTCCAATAAATGTCCAAATAGCCATTCTAATACGCAGTCCATGAATGGGTTGATGTAAATTTTTACAATTATTACAGTATTGCAGTAGTCTGCATAACAGTAAATCTTCTATTTTTTTGTTTGAATAAAATTTCAAAATAAAAAGCAAGAGTAATATCACAGGGACCTGGAGACATGACTGATGAACAAAGAAAATGTTATTTTAGAGCCAGGAATGTCTGCATTGTTCATTCTGGACCTATTTTGAAATTGTCGTATTTTTTAATTTTCGTGAAATTGGCCAAATTGCAAATTTCTGACCATGTTATTGGGTAGTTGAAATCGGTAAATGGGCAGTTTCTTGTACTCATCGATAGAAAAAATAGAGTTCTGAAGAAAATAGTTATGAGTTTGGTTGACTGGAATAACGGAATTAGCCGAAAATAGGGCTCAAAGTGGGCGAAATTGCCGATTTTTAAATATCGCCGAAGTCGCTAACTTCGCGAGAGCGTAATTTCCGTCAGTTTTCCATCAAATTTCGTTTTTTTTGGTGTCTTTTACAATCGGGAAAAGATTCTCTATCATTTCATAAGAAAAAATAATTTTTTTTTTTTTCGAATATTTTGCGACACCAGAAGCAACTTCAGGATTTGGCCCTTCGACAGTCAAAGGGTTAATATGTTCATTTTTGCAGATGGCAACCCCCCCCCCCCAAAAAAAAAAAAAAAAAAAAAAAATCTGGAACATCCTGCAGGTACCCTCTCCTCTTGATACAGCTTATACACAGCCCTCCCCCCCCCCCCCAAAAAAAAAAAATAAATAAATAAATAAAATGGTTTAAACTCACCTTACCAATCCTGGTCTTGTTCATACTGCCGAGGTCAGCTATGGTGTGTATATCTCCCTCAACTTCAAATACAGCGTGCTGCTTTGACAAGACCTAAGAAACAAAATTTTAGTTTTATCATATTGATAAATCATAAGTGTCATCATTTTTATTATTTACAATAATTAACTTTCATATAAAGTCTGTGGGGAAAGTTATGATGCCAAGGGATTGAAATTATGACTTTGCATAATTCATTTCATGTACTTATGTGGGTCTTGGGTCTTATGGGACGTGAAATATTGAAGATTGTCTGGCCATACTGTACAGATACTTGGCAATGCAGCATACTTCACAAGATTCACCCAGTAAACTTGTGGCTACTGTGAGGGTGAGATGTGTTTTGTTTGGTACATGCATCAGAGGGCCATATTTTCAACTGTGCGGTCACTAACCCCTCTCTTGTGACCAACAATAATGTTCAAGAGAGGTGCAAAGAAGGAGGATACATCAGCTGTGATTTTCTTACATAAGAGTAGCACTGTATTTCTGCTCAAAAAGGACTGAAACTGCGATCAGTGTAACATCTCATCAAATGTTTTCATGACCAGAGAGAGACCCTGTGTACCAGCCCATCTTCCCAAAACTGGTAGGCATAAATCAACTGCCCAAAAATTCTGAAAGTGTCTGTTCATCAAGCAAGAGAAATTCCTTCCATCACGGGAAGTGAAATGAAGGACAAAAATCCACGATTATTGGAGCATGTGTCCCTCAGATGTCTCCAGCAATCCCTCAATGATGACTTGGGATTGAGAAGCTTTTGAGCCCACAGTTAACCTTGTCTTACAGTGCAGCAAAAAGAGAAGAGAGTAAAGTTTTGCATACCATGAGTGGGGTTTGAAGTAGTGGAGGGGAGTTTTGTGGTTGGATGAATTATCCTTTACAGTGACTGGCAGTGGCTGAAGGAAGGTGTATGGTGGGCACCTCCTTCTGACTCACAAAACCCCACAGTATACAGACACTCCTCACTTACCCACTGTTATGACCAAGGTCATAATGTGATTAATTTATATGTATTATTCACTTAATATTATACTCTGGGTTTCTTTAATATTAGCTAAATTAAAGATTCCACTAGTTTATAATATTATCTGATTTAGGAATATACCCGGGTATGATGTGTATATATATATATATCTTGAGTAATGTGTTAGGTAGGTACTCCTGGCTAAGGTTTATAACAAGGTATCTCCATTGGTGGGTAGTTTGCACCGCTCTACCCTCTCCCCCTTTTGACGAGTTGATGTCATGAAGGAATTTACTGTATATGGCAGTTCACTCTCTCTGCTGACTAAGTGTGCATTGACTGAGCTACCCTCCTAGTACTCCGCCTTATTCTCACTTGGATAGAGAATTGGGTTATAGAAACTCCTGATCCAGCTTGTGGTTTATTGTGAAGTCTGCTGACAATGATATACAGTATTATCTTCAGTTATGATGTGACGACAGTGTTCAAGCTTAGAACTTTATGATATATTCCTTATGCCAGGGAGTTACTCAGAAAAAGTGTTAATTCTCAATATATGTACTTACACACAAGTAATGTTACTATTGAGGAAGCGATAATATTCCTCTGATCATTGTCAAGTGTAATGACCATATTGACATGTACTTTCTATTTAAGAGTTTTCTTGTGTGAAAGAAAGTTTCTGACAGTGATATTTAATAGATATTTATGAAGATCTAAAGTATTTAAGCTTTTAAATAAAAAGAAACTTGAAAAGACTGAGTAACTATTATTTGTGCCTTACATTTCTAAGTTTGGAAACATATCCTTTCATTCTATGAAGTGTGTTGTTACGGAGTGCACTAACCTGGCTAAAGATTAAGATTTGAACCGTAACAAGTGGGGGCCTGTTTCGGGAGCTTTGAACTTCTTGACCATGGATCGTGACATATCACAGTTGGTGAAGAACCTGACTCCAGATACGCTGAAGACTTTACCACTGCAACAATGCTGGCAAGTTGCTAGATATTTAGGAGTTTCATATAACAATCGTTATATAGCGAGTACTGTCCGTTCTATAATACAGAACATACTATTTTCTCAGCCATCTGACACTGTCCCGAGGTTGGACTCGCATGACAAGACACCCTCGGAGGAATCTTTGTCCCTTGGAGTAGCTCATTTGGTGGCTTCATTCGAAGGCCTCACTTTGGGAGCAGAGGCTATGTCTCGGGACAACGTACCGCCTGATTCGTGTAATGAGAGCCCATTAGCTAGCCCTGGTCATGTGGGGGCGACCGGAGGTGGAGCTCGTCCCAAGCTTCGCCTAGAGGGACTCTCTCCTCCCACTCCTCCAGTACCTTTGACTCCTCTCACACTCGAACACTTTCAACGTCTGGAACATCTTATAAAGTTGCAAACAGAGCAACTGGAATCCCAGCGCCTGCTGTATAAAGAGGAGTTCGAGAGGGAAAACATCAGATTCGAGAGGCAAAAAGAAGAAAAGAGTAAGTCGCCTGCTACTCAAGCCTTGACCTTTGACCTGCACAGGGCTGCCTCATTAGTGCCCAGATTTTGTGAAACAGACTTGGACACTTACTTCGACACATTTGAGAATCAGGCACGAGGATGAGATGGCCTCGTGAACATTGGGCTACCTTACTTCACACCACACTTAAGGGTAAGGCTCAATCATGTACTGCAGCTCTCCCGTATGATAAGTATGCAGATTACGAGGCAGTTAAGAAGATCATTTTAAAGGAGTATGACTTACTTCCTGTAAGTTATCAGCGCACCTTCCGCTCTCTTACGAAGACTGCCCGGCCAAACTGGGTTGAATTTGCCCGGCAAAAGAAGGTGGCTCTAGAGCGATGGTTGAGGTCATCTGAGTGTGATACTATGGAGCGTCTGATGCAGTTGATCTTTGCAAGAAGAATTTCAGAACTCTCTGACGGGCGATGTACGCTCCTTTGTTATCGAACACCAGACTGCAGATGTGTTGGCCTCTGCTTCTCTAGCTGATCACTTTGAGATAACCTCTCAATTGACCAAGGAAAAAGGGTCTAGAGAAAGCCAGGTTATGTTCTCCTAAGAGTCAGTCTTTCTCTCCTAGGAAAATGGATCAGCAGACCTCTCCTCCTCATTCAGCAAAAGCCTACTCGAATGTCGGTCCACAGTAATGGTAAAGGGAAACCATCTTACGAGGGAAATGCATCAAGAAGAGGCCCAACTTGCTCTTATTGTCAGAAACCAAGACATTGGAGGCGCTCATGTTTCCAATTAAATCGAGACCGTAGGCGGTCAGGTTCTGAGACATTACCTGTACAGATGACGTCTTCCTCAAAATCGAAGTGCCTAATTCCCTCTGAGTTGTTCGCAGACAAAGTTTCGGAAGCCATGTTGCCTTACTTCTTTAAGGGTTAAGGCTGGTGTTACAGAGGACCAATGGTGGACATAGTATCCTATCGGGATACGGGAAGCTACCTGACCTTACTGAGAAAAGGAGTACTTCCTCTAAATGATGACACTTATATTAACCTGGATGTTTTGCTAGAAGGTTACGGTGGCACTATCACAAGAGTACCCCTTCATAAGGTATATGTGAACGTCGATTCATATCAAGGTGAAGCTGTTGTAGGCCTTTCTGAAACTGATTTTCCCATTAAGAGTGTAGATCTATTGGTGGGAAATGATTTAGGAAGAGGAGGAATTTGCCAAGAACCTTATGTTATAGAGAAGTTCTCTGGAGAGAATTATGCCATTGAAGGGTGTAAGGAAGGTCCTCGTCTATTCCCTCTTACAGCCATAACCAGAGCTATGGCTAAGAATTTGGAACCACTGCCTACTCCTGATGAACCCTCAGATTGGGGTTTGGATGCTCTGTTCAGTGCCAGTGATCAACAAGAAGTCGAAAATCAGCCTCCAAAATCCCAAGTGGTAGATTTTTCCCCATTACGGAGTAGCGACTTTAATCGTGAAAATTTAGTAAAAGAACAGCTTGAAGACCCGTTGTTGAAACAGGCAAGGGATCAAGCGCTTACTGAGATGGAAGCTGAGGGTAAGGAAGAATGTTTTTATTTCTCTGACGGTATCCTGATGAAGAAATTTCCGTCGACTTCAGCTAATTCATGTCTCAAGCCAAAACAGCTTTTGGTTTTACCTGTCCGGTTTCGGGAGTTAGCATTGGAAGTGGCACATTCTAGCCCCATGGGCGGACACTTGGGTATAAGAAAGACTTTAGGAAAATTAGCCCGATATTTCTTCTGGCCCAAGATGAAGGATACTGTGACTGAGTACTTGAGAAACTGTGCTATTTGCCAGCTCATTGGGAAGCCTGCGCATAAACCTCCTCCTGCACCCCTCTTGCCTATTGCCGTAGAAGGCGAACCCTTCTCTCGGCTCGTAATAGACTGTGTGGGACCTCTCCCAAAAACTAGGCTTGGCAATCAATATCTTCTTACGATAATGGATACGACTACTCGGTATCCAGAGGCTGTGCCCCTTCGCAAGATTAGTGCCAAGGCTATTGTGAGAGTCCTATTTAGATTCTTCGCACAGTTTGGATTCCCTAAGGAGATTCAATCTGACAGGGGGACGAATTTCACATCAAAAATTTTCCGTGAAGCTATGTCCAGGGTTGGAGTTAAACCCATTGTTTCAACAGCATATAGACCCCAAACCCAGGGTTGTCATAGAGAGGTTTCACCAAACCTGAAGATCATGATGAGGGCATACTGTGAGCAGTTCTCAACGGACTGGGATGAAGGTATTCCTTTCCTCCTCCTTGCCTTAAGAGAGAGCGAACAGGAGAGTTTAGGATTTAGTCCTTTTGAACTCATTTATGGTCATGCGGTCCGAGGACCGTTAGTAATGTTAAAGGACGTATGGTCTGGGAAAATGGAGCCTTCTTTATGTTTATCCCCCTCGGCAATGCAAAAAACACTTGGCTTTTACTCAGCAATTGGCCGCTGACAACCTCCGACAAGCTCAAAACCGTTATGAAACAACATTATGACAAGACTGCTGTTGAGCGTTCATTAAATGTGGGAGACAAAGTTTTAGCTTTAAAGCCGGTGCCAGGCCATACCTTGCAACCCAAGTTGAGGGT